ACACACACACAAACACATTCCTCAGCTTTATAGGTGACATGTTGTTTTTCTGGTCCCTGACACCTCCCACCCCCTTCTGCTTTGACAGAATGGTTTGCCCCGTTGAACTGGGAATCAAAGACTGGGAACGGGGCCAGGACCACTTCAAAACAAAATAAGATGGTGTGTGTGTTGTGAGGTAAAGACCTGGAAGCCTCCAGCTCTAATTTCATTAGCATTATCATTCACTGGCAGCTTGTAACATTTAGACAAGTGTGTTTGTCAAGTATCTAATTATAAGTCAATGGAGTGGAAATCGTCTTGCTCTCCGAGGCTCTCTCCACCTTTCCTAAACAAGGCCGGCGGCCAAGACGCCACCATTGCCAGCGGTAACCAAGTCAGCTCAAAAGTATGTCGCCGCAGAGGGGCTGCATTCCCCGAGGCTTTTCTGTCACTGTCCTGATTGAATTAGAGCCACAGAGCCGAGTGTAGGGAATCACAGAGGTTTGCTGAGAGCTCCCATATACAGCTGGAAAAAGGCTTGACCAGAGGAAGTGAGAAAGCAAAAGGAAGCTGAATCAAAATGAGAGTAAAATGTACTTTAAAGTCACGCAAAAATGTAAGCTTACTTTCACATATTCTCCTCCACCATCTGTCATGTCCTGATGCCTAAAAAACAAAGGAAACAAGTTTGATTTATTAAAAATATTAGTTTGAACTTTTTGTGTAAGAGTCCCCAATTACCTATCAGCAAATAATTCACAGGAAAGTTTCTAAAAAAAAAGAATCTAATGAGGTATTAATAACAGGGCAAAATAAATATTGAACCAAGCAAATTATAGAAGAGGGCCCTCTCGCTGTAACACATGTTTGCAATGCCACAAATAAGCTCCAGGTGACCTGAGCAGAGTTTAGCAGATGACAATCAAGTAAATAAATAAATAACAATGATTAACACATTTTAGAAAAATGTGTTGTTTCATCTGTCTGCTAGAAAAAACCAAAATCACCAAATATCGGTATCAGTCTTTAAAATCCTGTATTGGTCAGGTTAGTATTTGTTTATTTATTTTTCTTCTACTTTTAATTTTTTGTTACTTATTGGATGCGATACAAGCACTGTGTTTTCATGAATGACAGCTGCTCTGAATAAATTAAGTTGTTTTTTTTTGTTCATGAATTGCTCAGTAGAGATCAACAGAGCAGCTATGGGAAAAGAAAACATACAATAAAGATCCAACCAGGAAGAATCTGGGACCAATGACTAGTTTCTGTGTCGGAAAAGTGAAGCCAAAGTGGTAGTGCCCTAAATGTGCATTCTTTTTAATGACCACCAGGGGGACAAAGACATTGTATAGGAGTCTATGTGAAACAGCACTCAGCTCATTGCTGTATGACCTCACTAAACACAATTGTAAATAGTTTCTGGTCTCAGTTGCTACTATTTTATGGTCATATTGTAATCAAGTATGTAATCGGTCTGTCTGTCTGTTAGCAGTCTAGCGTTTTTAACATATGATTCTCAGATTTTGTGTCTTCAACAGCATCTAGCGCTGATTTAATTTAGGTGAAAAAGATCACAGCAAATGTGACAATCATTAAAAACTTTATATTACCCAGAAAGTTTTTATGGATCGTCTTCAAACTTCACAACAGTAAGCTAGGCCTTGGGGGCACGAGTACCTAGGTAGGGTAAGCATTTGCCCTTGATCATATTGTAATTAAAAAAAAATGGCGTCAGCATGTTATTAAAAAAAATCATAAAACATCAAAGTTTCAGTATAGCTCTCGTGCTTCTCCGGGAGCCTTGTTAGAGGAGAGAGAATCGCCTGCCGCTTGATCAGCTGCCAATGACTTGTAATTGAGAAGTTGTTAACTAGCAACTGTGGGGTGGTTCAGTCAGACCTCTCCCCCCGCCCACCTCCGCCTGTCACGTCTGGTTTCAAACTACCAAGAGGCCGCTGAGCTCAAAGCTTCATGACGGTGTTTTACTAACCAGTATCAGACGCCACAATATTTATGTCCAACTTTTATACAGTCTATAGCTGGGAGTCAGTTAATACACTGGAGCTGAGTGTTTGCACGTCATGTTTACACCATACCATGTCGTCCTAACCCCCCCCATCTGCTCTGCGCAGCTACAGCTGGCACTATTTTTAGAGCTGCCGAGAAGAGGGTCGCTTCTGCGACGTGTCAGAATCAAAGTAGAGTCTGCAAGGTGGTGAAATAGCTGACACTGCCACATCATCCACTGAAGCTCCACAGGATTCAGTGTGTCTGAGTCAGGTAACTACTAAATGTAGCCACGGGGTCTACGGCGCCTGCTGTTTCCAGAAACCACATTTTATGCAACTTTCAACAAACATTCAACGTGTTTTGTAATTTTCATCTACTGTGACATATTTCCTGTCGCACTCATGTAAGATTAGAGTTTAAACTGTTGCCAAGTCGTGGTCATTGACATAGCAACTCTATGGTATCAGATAAAACAGCAAACATCTGTCATCACGGTCACATTCAGCTTTTTTCTTTTATTGTTCAGCCTTGATTAAAGGCTGGAAATCCAACAGCCCTGTTTTCAAACAGCACGTTTTCCTTATTGTTTGTCATCATAATTTACTTGATTTTTAAAAAAATCCCATATCTTGATAAGTGAGTAGCAGTATTATCATAGTTCTGGTAGCAGCAGCAGGAGTTGTACATGCTTTATGCTGTCTGCTGTCCATCGGCCCTCTTGCGAAACTCTCTGACAGCAGCAGTGAGTTCATTCGACACCGCCTAGCAACAACATGCAACCCAACAAACTCCTCCAGGGAGGATCGGGAATATTCCCGCTTGTATCTGCAAACCGTCTGTTTTTCAAGACTGAAGCAAAAGAAACATTTTTTCTCCATGATGTCCATCCACACAACAGCTGGATCCTCACCAAATCTGAGGCCTGTGGGGCTCACAAAACTAAACTCAGCACCCAGAGGACCACTGACACTTTTCAAATGATGCTTTAAACAAAAAAAAAAAACTCCCAAAAAGCAAAAGCTTTGTTTCTTTCTGACAGCTCTGATGCATTATGTCAGCGCAGAAACACAGCACACTGGCAGGGTGAAACTCTCTGCTCTTCCTCAACTGGCTGCATACTTCCAAGAGTCAAGGGAGGTGACCTTTTGTTCCCAAACACAAACTCTGAGAACAGGCAGCACACACTCACAGATGTGGACATACAGCATGAGAAACGCGCTGGCATTCAAAAACTAAACCCCACGCAGATGATTTTAAGCCCTGATATGCTGCTTGTGCTGTTTGGGAATGATGCCGATGCTCACTGGCTGTTTTAATTATTAGATTAAACCCTTTAGGGCTAGGAAGGAGGAGGAGGGTATTTTTATGGCATTATTGAGGACAATATAATAAACAGGAAGTCAGACAAAGACAAAACTCCCAGGTTACAACACGGCACCCCATTCATTCCAGTAAAAGCTGCTTCATACCTGCTTTTTCAAACTCAGGACTGAAAACCTCGAAGCTTCCAAGTATCAGGATGTTCCAATTCTAAGATCCTTGGAGCAAATAAAAACAGAGAGCACCTCTCCCTCACAGGATAAAATAAAATAAATGCAAGCCTCTTCTAGATGTTCCAAATGGTTTAAAAGCGAGTATGGATACAGTCGTCCGATGTAGATCAGATATCGGGTGACAGCAAACGACCACAGTGATAGCAGTAAATACTGAAAGTGCAAATGCAAATATATTGTTACATTTTTTCTTTTTATCTATCTTG